TCAGGGGCGGCTGCTGCAGGGGTAGCGGCTGCTGGGGCGGCTGCTGCAGTGGCGGCTGCTCCAGGGGCGGCGGCTCCAGGGGCGGCTGCTGCAGCGGCGGCTGCTCCAGGGGCGGCTGCTGCTGGGGCGGCTGCTCCAGGGGCTGCTGCTGCAGTGGCGGCTCCAGGGGCGGCTGCTGCAGTGACGGCTGCTCCAAGGGCGGCTGCTCCAGGGGCGGCTGCTCCAGGGGCGGCTGCTGCTGGGGCTGCTGCTGCAGTGGCGGCTCCAGGGGCGGCTGCTGCAGTGACGGCTGCTCCAGGGGCGGCGGCTCCAGGGGCGGCTGCTGCAGCGGCGGCTGCTCCAGGGGCGGCTGCTGCTGGGGCGGCTGCTCCAGGGGCTGCTGCTGCAGTGGCGGCTCCAGGGGCGGCTGCTGCAGTGACGGCTGCTCCAGGGGCGGCTGCTGCAGCGGCGGCTGCTCCAGGGGCGGCTGCTGCTGGGGCTGCTGCTGCAGTGGCGGCTCCAGGGGCGGCTGCTGCAGTGACGGCTGCTCCAGGGGCGGCGGCTCCAGGGGCGGCTGCTGCAGCGGCGGCTGCTCCAGGGGCGGCTGCTGCTGGGGCGGCTGCTGCTGGGGTGGCTGCTCCAGGGGCGGCTGCTGTTGCAAGGCAGGCCCGCGCGCTGCTGCAAAGCAGGCACGGGCGCAAGGGAGGCAGAGGCGGCGGCCAGGGGGGGGTGCGCCGCGACGAGCAGGTGACAGGGCCACAAGGGGCGGCAACGGAGCCGCTAGGGGCGGCAACGGGGCCGCGAAGAGCGGCGACGGGGCCGCTAGGGGCGGCAACGGGGCCGCTAAAGGCGGCGACGGTGCCGAGATGGGGCGGCGACAGGGCCGCGAAGTGTGGCGACGGGGCCACTGAGGGTAGCGCGAGGGGCCGTGAGAGGAGCAGCGACGGGGCCGCGAAGAGGCCGTGAGGGGCCGAGAAGGGCGGCGTCGGGGCAGGAAGACGCCGCGCGTCCGGGGCGCACGGCGGGCGGAAAACCGCCACGCGCCCCGAGCGCGTGGCGGGAAGAAAAAAGTGTCGCGCGCCCCGGGGCGCGCGACAGAAAAGAAAGCAGAGGAAGCACGTGGGGCCCACAGGCCAAGAGCGTAGTCGCTCTGATTCCATGTGAAGATAGTAGGTAGAGTTAGGTGGGCTTGGGAGCCATAGCTTAGGAGCCTTGGTAGTTAAGTTCGAGGGTGAGGAGAGTGTCGAGAAAATTGTAAAGGAGAATGGGGGTTTCACTATAGGTTCAAGGGTACAAATATGAAAGAAGAGAAGCAAGGTGCACCACCTAACAAGCAAGATAACTGCACTAAGTCTACATTGCAGGCAGTTATAAAGTGATGTATACAATAATATTCTGACAGGGCGTGTGTGCGGCGTGTGTCGAAGGAAAAATGGCTCGCAAGCCATTCGGTAGCCGAACGTCACCCCTCGCTAAGGACCCGCTTGCGCTTGTTCACATGGACGTGTGTGGACCGATGCGGCATGCATCAAAGGGAGGAGCGCGGTTCCTCTTGGTGATGCTCGACGACGCGATGCGGATGTGTTGGACCCGGCTCTTGAAGGCTAAGGGAGATGCGGCCAAGGCGATTCAAGAGTGGGCGCTCGAAGTTTGCGACGACGACAAGAAGCGGATCAATGTTATTCGTACCGATGGGGGTGGCGAATTCGTGAACAACGAGCTTGCAAAATGGATGAAGAGCAAGGGCATCAAGCATGATGTCACAACACCCTACACACCCCAACAAAATGGAGCGGCGGAGTGGCTTAATCGCACGTTGGTGGAAGCCGTTCGTTCTCTTCTTCAACACTCCAAGCTTGGGAGCGAGTGGTGGGGTGAGGCGAGTTCGTTAGCGGCGTGGATTCGCAACCGTTTGCCGACAAAGGTGCTCCCGGGAACGACTCCGTTCGAAGCATGGACCAGAACGAAGCCGAACCTATCCCGCCTTCGCACCTTTGGGTGCCTTTGCTACTACCATGTACCGGATCCCCTTCGCCACAAGTTGCAACCGAAGGCTCGTGCGGCGATCTTCTTGGGAATTGCGCCAAACGAGCGTGCACGGCGAGTGTGGGACTTGGGTGAAAAGTGCGTCGTCACGTCTCGGGACGTGGTCTTCGATGAACACAAGTTCCCGGCGAAGGAGAAACCAACTCAACAAGTCACCTTCATCCTTCCGGCACGAGAGGAGGTTGAAGAAGTTGAGGTTTCACCTCAAGTGGAGAAGGAAGCCGAAGATGGTGGGGGAGAGAACAACGAGGAGAGCGTTGATGATGTCGTGGAGGAGCCACCAACCGCGGCGACAACTTCCTCTACACCTTCCTCCATACCATTGGCGTTGACCCGCGAGCGTCGTGAGGTTCGTCCTCACCCCAAATACGCCGACTACGCTACGGTAGCCGTTGGGGAGTTGGACAAGGAGGGCGAGGCATTTTGCTTTGCAACCAACGGAGATGATGGACACGTGGATTCTCTCACGGAACCACTCCCTAAAGATTCATCCCGTACATGCTATGAGGATGTTGGCTTGCGCACCTAGTGGGTTGGGTGCAAGGGGGAGTGTTGGAGGGAAACGGTGGTGGGGCGGTGGTATGCCCCCAACCCACCGAGGGCACTTCGGTGCCTTCGATCCCTTTGACTAGGGATCGGTGGGGAGGCACCGTTTGACTTCGGGAGACTCCTAGTTTGGTGCCACGTGGCGGCACCACAATCCAACCTTCATTGAGAAGGCACGTTCGGTTTGTTTCGGTGAAATTCGGCTACCGAATTTCACCCAACCGAAAATGTTACGCGGGGCGCATTAGCGACACGAAATGTAGCGACTCGATGTTACACATGCGATTCGATGTGAATGAGTTGCTATAAATTGTGATTGCTTTGTATGCATGAGATATAGTGAACATTGGAATCATCTTGTACGTGGTACATTCGAACCAGAAATTCCAGAGAGCTTCTATACTTGCATTCAAGAGCACCACCCAACACGTGAACGCCTATATCTCGGCGGATACTTAGGCGATCGACGTGTGTGACGGCTCGTTGGAAAGCTAAGACAGAGCTCTATCGTTTAGTGCAAATCCCAGTTCCTGCAAAGTAGAGGAGAGTCCTTTACAACAGCGCCATCACTGGCTGCGCCTGAGCGTTGTCCCACACTGTCGTTTTGTGTCGGTGTGCCTGATGAGATGACGATCGGCTCCTCCGACTGTGCAGGTGCGTGTGGTGGTGCTGGAGCATTCACCGTGGATTGCTGACGAGCGGAGTCGCGTTCCGCCGTGAGTGTCGCAATTTCGAGCGCCGAATCTTCGATTTGGCGCACGAGACGGTCGAGTTGCTTCTGCGTCAGTGTCGCGAGAGTGAATTCGGCCATGGCGGGGGTGTCGGGCAAGCTCAGCGAGAGTCTCTGTCGTGGCCGTGCGTGCTCACGAGAGAGCACTTCGAGCGGCGGTGCTTGTTTCGCTGAGAGACGTCTACTCCCCCCAAAAAATGGAGAAAGTGGGGAAGCGAAGGTGTGGGTGCGGTCCGAGAGAAGATCGTAGGCTCTGAATACCAAGTGTTATGAGTGCAATTGAGTGATCGAGCGAGAATTGCACTATCGAAGTAAGAGTACAATGAGCGAAGAATATATAGCGAAACTACAGTGGTAACGGTAACGAACTGTGGTTGACGCGCGACGGGCCTGTGACTGAGGTCGGGACTGAGGTTGGGAAAGTGTCGAAGCGGAGGCCCCGAGCGCGGGTTACCAGCCGAGCCGTGAGGCTGGGTTGCGACGTGCGAAGTGGCGGGAAGATTGTCGAAGCGAGGGTCACGAGTGGTAACGGTGGTGCCGAGTGTGGTGAGAACAGTAATGTACGCGCTACGCAGGGCTGCGGCGTAAGGAAAAGGAATTTTCCTTACACCCACAAACGTGTGCAGCCAGCGTGGAATGCGTTCTTGCATTCCGCAACGATCCGCACGTTCTTGAGCTGACGCATCCTATATTCACCAATGGAGCCTCGAGCGGCTGTACAGCATTGCAAGGAATTTTGGAAACAAGCCGCCTTCGGACTCAAATGATGCTTGGCGAAAATGTTATCCAGAAAAACTAAGCGTCACTGAAGGTCCTTGCCGGTCAGTGTATTTCTGTGCGTAATAAGGCGAGGATGCTGCACTCAGATCATGTTTTGGGCAGCGTTGGGAGCAATTGCGGAGGTGAGGCGTTCTACTTTTTTCGTGTAGATTTTATGGCAGCGCAGCTACAGTGTCTTCAACGTGTGTCAATTCTTTGCGACCAAGCGAGATCGCATCGCCTTTCTGATCTTGCACTGAGCCCTGCGAGACAGGTCGCGCTCCCGCGCACTTGCTCCTCCCTCCCACCCGAGCGCTCACCTCCACCTCCGTGACGTTGAGTTGTGTGGTGGTGGAGTGGATCAGTTGCGCGATCAGGCACGCGTGACTCCGCGTCACGTGCCAGCCAGTGCCACCTCCTCCTCCTCCTAATATCCCCTGCTTTGCATCCCCCACCCAAACAACCACAACCGCCACCCCCTAATCCACACCACGCCTCACTCGCCTACTATCGCACTTTCTCCTCTTCCGCCAGTGTGGCGCTGCTACCAATTGCTCCCCTCCCCTTCCCGCTCGCCCGTGTATTCTGATTCCGCGCCATCGCTTCCTCGTCCCGCGAAATTCCTGGTCTCGTCATAGCACACTGACACGACAGCAGCGCGTCCTACACACTACACGTACTACATCAGATTTGATCTACCTCCTGCACCAATTTCCATCAAGCTCTCGTCTCACCGTATCTACCCGTCTCCTACCGTCGTTTACCGTCCTCGCTCAGCCTGTTTCGCTCTGGTAACCCGCCTCGAAAGCCGCCGTCCGACCTCCTTACTATACGGTAGTACTAAGGGTTATACTCGCAGTCTACCCGTACCCCAACACTTGCTCGCAGCCTCCCCTCCGGCCCCGCCGTTAGAACCGCCCGCATCATCATCTTCAGCACCATGTGCAAGCGACCGGATTTCCCGGCGGACATCACGGGCGACGACTCCATCAGCCTCGATTTTCCCGCGCAACCACAGTCCGGCTGGCCCCCAGGCGCGCATGGCGCTGCCGCCGCCGCGCACCTTGCCGCATCGCAATTCTCCATGCCGCCCTTCACCCTGCACTATCCCACCGCCTCCCCTGCAGCCGCCTCTCACGCTGCCGCCGGAGCCGCGTCGCAGCATCTAGACTGGCTGGCGTGTGGACCAGCGTTCTTGTCGCCTGTTAGCCTCCTCCCCGCGTTCCCCTCGCCTGGGTAAGCGCGCCAAAAAACAGCGAATGGCGGTAGTACCGCGCGCGCCAATGCATGGGTGCGCGCGCCACTGATAGTACTAGTAGACGCTGCGCGCCCCGCCCACATGCTTTTCTCCTCTTCCCCACTCGCATCTCCCCGCCTCAATTCTCCTTACTTCCCCCCCAATCCACCCTGTCCCCTTCTCCCCCCCCCCCCCTCAACCTTTTAACGTCTCCCCCCCCCCCCCAACCCGCCTCCTTCCCCCCGCCATCCCGCCAGCCCGCTGCTCGTCCCGCCGCCCCTCCTCGACGCTTCCAACCCCACCAGAGACATGACCGCGCGACTCTCCGCGTCTCACGGCCTTGCCAGCCCGCGCGGCGCCTGGACTTCCGCCGCCAAACCCGCCGCCATGCGCGGGTCGCCGCCTTCCCCTGCCGCCGGCACGGCAACCAGCGCGCTGGCCGCCGCGCAGACGGCAGCGTCGGCATCGATCGCGGCGGCGGGCGCAGCAGCGGGAGGAGGGGCAGGAATGGGAGTAGGAATGGGGGCAGGAATGGGAACAGGAGGGGCACCGTGGATGTCGTTTATGGGGCCGTCCCTAGCAATGGGTCCCGTGCCGCAAGGGTTTCTGATGCGACCGGGTGCGGCGCAAGGGCACGAGGCAGGAAGGATCCCCGTCATGAGCGAGAAGAAGCAGAAACGGTGAGTGGGACTCACCGTGACTGTGCACTGTACGTGCAGGCAGGGCGTGGGGTCCAGTGCCTGCTGTCAGTGTCGGTGGAGGAAGGACGCCACGAGATTCCCCTCCTCCGTTTCCCACTACCGTCCTCTCTCTGCCTCCCCAACCTCTCCCCTACTCCCCCCCCGCCCCTTCCTTTCTCTCCCTCCTCCCTACTCCCTCATCCCCCCTCTCCCCCTCTATCCCCCCCCAGGATCGTGTCCAACCCGGCGTCAGCCAAGCGGTCGCGGCAGACTTACAAGTCAACTCGGAAGTCACCTCCTCCCCTTCCCTCCCCCCCTCCCTCCCCCCTCTCCCCCAGGATTGTGTCCAACCGGGCGTCAGCCAAGCGGTCGCGGCAGCGGCGGCAGCAGCGGCTGGAGGAGCTAGAGGTGATGGCAGCGCACCTGCAGGTGGACGGGGCGGACGCACGGAAGGGCCTGGCGGACGCCAGTGCCAGGCTGGCGGCGCTGCAGCACGAGCACACGGACCTGCTGCAGCAGGTGGCGGAGCTGCAGAGGCTGCTGCAGCTGGCCAAGCAACGGTGAAGCTCGGTGGAGAGGTGTGGAAGGTGGTGGAGTGGGGGTGGAGGGGGGTTTAGTGGGGTGGGAGGGGGTAGAAGGAATATTGATGTTGGGGGGAGGGGAGTGGGAAGGGGTTAGCGGTTTTGAATGCGGTTAACAATCGATTTGGACAGGGGTCAGCAGTTCTGTTGCTTCTCCTTTGTTTGAATACAGGTCGGTACATCTTTCATGGCCAATATTAGACCAATAATATTGAGAGTCCATCCTTCAAGCGGCATTGGTACTGGTATGATATGGTACAATGTATTTCCAACATTGACACTATCTCACCATCTACCGGTATTAGAATGTATCATGTTATTACGGTATGTCCAGGAATTGGATTAAAGATCCATATTGAGTCCATTCTTCATAGACGCAGACTGCTGGCAAGAATCACATTATCAACGAACAAACATTTGAATAAAATAAAGAATAGATAACCCTGGCGATCTGTATAACCCCTGTGACGCTCTCTGCTGCACAAATGCAAGCCACCAGAAGGGCCACAATCACGGTGCACTTCACCCATCACACGCCACTTCCTGAGTCCTGACAGAAGAAGCCCTAAACAATTCCAAATCACAGGTCACAAATTACGAATCACGAGTCCATGTATTCGCACTCGTGCAATCTTTCCAGGATTTCCTCGTAATCGGGCCGCTGATCCGGGTCCTCCTTCCAGCAATCTGCCCGTGCACAGGGTTTGAATCGAATTCAGAAAGCAACCAAGGCGCAACAATGCATGATCGATCGGGGAACGAGAGCGAGAGCAGAGTGCGATGCGCACGCATTTCAGGCGCGTAAGAAAGAGAACCCTAAGAAAACCTAGTTTAGCCAGATTTTGAACCCACCTGGCATACCCAACGTACCTGAAATGAGGCGGCCAAGGCTGGTGCTGGGCACAGGGAGGCGCGAGTTGTGATGGGCCACAGCGTATGCCACCTGGAAAGAGGGGCAATGTGGGGGGCGTAGGGGGCGTAGGGGGCAATGGGGAGCAATGGACGGGAAGGGGGGGCAATGAGGGGCAAGTGGGGGAAAAGGAAGGGGGCAAGCCAGGGGGGTTAATGAGGGGAGACTGAGGGGTATAGGTGAGCCAACGGAGTGACTCAAGTAGGGAGTGCTGTGAGCAACCCCATTCCTTCCCATCGGTCCCCCAACACTCCTCCACCCTCCCTAACCCTCCCTGACCAATTTCAACCTCCCTGACCCTTATCAACCCACTGCACGCACCTCCAGCGGCCCATTGCAGTCCTCCCAGGGGCGGCGCAGCGTGGCAAGCTCCCACATAATAACTCCCAAACTGAACACGTCGCACTTGAAGGAGCACCGCTCGTTGCGCAGCAGCTCGGGCGCCATCCACTCGGGCGTGCCGGCGGCGGTGCGGCCCACCACGTGGCCGTTGGTGGCGATGCGCGAGAGGCCAAAGTCGCACACCTTGACGCACCAGTGCCGGTCCACGAGGCAGTTGGCGGACTTGAGGTCCCGGTGTATGATGCTCATACGCTGCAGACACAGCATGCCCCTGGGGGAGGGAAGGTGTGGGGGCGGGGGAAGGGGAGGGGAGGGGAGGGGGGGGGGTTGTGGGAAAACAGGTAGCAGGACTTGGAAAGGGTAGGGGTGGTGGAGTGAGGGGAAGGAGAGGGAAGGTGCCATCCACTCGGGCGTGCCGGCGGCGGTGCGCCCCACCACGTGGCCGTTGGTGGCGATGCGCGAGAGGCCAAAGTCGCACACCTTGACGCACCAGTGCCGGTCCACCAGGCAGTTGGCGGACTTGAGGTCCCGGTGTATGATGCTCATACGCTGCAGACACAGCATGCCCCTGGGGGAGGGAGGGATGGTGTGGGGGTGTGGGGGAAGGGGAAAAGGGATAGAGAGAGTCAGCATGAGAAGCACGTGCGTTTTCGCAGGTTAAGGTGGGCTATGTGGGCGGACTTGACTTGAGGTCCCCGTGGATCATGCTCATGCGCTGCAGAGCAGACACAGCATGCCCCTGGGGGACGGATGGCAGGGGGGTGGGCAGAAGGGAGAGGGGGTTTGAGAGAGTCATCAAGTCAAGCATGTGCTTTTGGCAGGTCAAGGGGGCACGTGGGGTGGGGGGACTTGAGAGTTCTCCGTGGATCATGCTCATGCTCATGCTCATGCTCATGCTCATGCTCATGCTCATGCTCATGCGCTGCAGAGCAGACACAACATGCCCCTGCGGATCGCAAGCGGGAGGGAGGGAGGGAGGGAGGGGGTTTGGTTCCGTGGGGAAACAAACAGGTGCGTACAAAACGCTCACACGACACACACGCCATCTCTGGAAAAGCACGGACCCAGACAGCCAGCCTGCACACACAGCATGCCTGTGGAGGAGGAGAGCGGATAGAGAGGGCAGCTGTGGATAGAGCGGCACTTGGCAACTTGTAGCGCCGCTCCCAGCTGAGCCAAGTGGGTAAAAAACGCTCCCCCAACACACACGCCATCCCATCCCATCCCATCCCACTCCACTCCACTCCACTCCACTCCACTCCACTCCACTCCACTCCACTCCACTCCACTCCACTCCACTCCACTCCACTCCACTCCACGCACTCTCCCACCCCTCCCCTGCACACCTCCCCACCTGCAGATGTCTCTGAGCATCTTGTAGCGGCGCTTCCAGCTGAGGGACTCGCCGCCCTGGCCGGGCTCGCGCGTGTGGATGATGCGGTAGAGCGACCCCATGTGCATGTACTCCGTCACCATGGACAGGTGCGGGGGCACCGTGCACGCCCCCATGAACAGGATCACTGCCGAATTGGGTTTGGGGGAAGCGGGTGGAGGGGGAAACAGGGAGGGGTGAGGGCGGAGGGTGGAGGGGGAGAAGGGGGAGAAGGGGGAACAGAAGGGGGAGACAGAAGGGGGGAACAGGGAGGGGGGAACAGGCTTGTCCCAGATTGGGGTTAGGGCTCGCGCGTGTGGATGATGCGGTAGAGCGACCCCATGTGCATGTACTCCGTCACCATGGACAGGTGCAAGGGCACCGTGCACGCCCCCATGAACAGGATCACTGCCGAATTGGGTTTGGGGGAAGCGGGTGGAGGGGGAAACAGAGAGGGGTGAGGGCGGAGGGTGGAGGGGGAGAAGGGGGAGAAGGGGGAACAGAAGGGGGAGACAGAAGGGGGGAACAGGGAGGGGGGAACAGGCTTGTCCCAGATTGGGGTTAGGGCTCGCGCGCGTGGATGATGCAGTAGAGCGACCCCATGTGCATCTACTCCGTCACCATGGACAGGTGCGGGGGCACAGTGCACGCCCCCATGAACAGGATCACTGCCGAATTGGGTTTGGGGGAAGCGGGTGGAGGGGGAAACAGGGAGGGGTGAGGGCGGAGGGTGGAGGGGGAGAAGGGGGAGAAGGGGGAACAGAAGGGGGAGACAGAAGGGGGGAACAGGGAGGGGGGAACAGGCTTGTCCCAGATTGGGGTTAGGGCTCGCGCGTGTGGATGATGCGGTAGAGCGACCCCATGTGCATGTACTCCGTCACCATGGACAGGTGCGGGGGCACCGTGCACGGCCCCATGAACAGAATCACTGCCGCATGCATGGGGTTGGTTTGGGTTTGGGGGAAGTGGGTGGTTGCAGTTGGGGGGTGGAGAGGGTGGGTGGAGGGGCCGTGGGGACAAGGAGAGCGGGGGTGTGGGGTTGGAAATACGGAGGGGGGAGGAGGGAGAGGAAGGAGGCAGAACAAAAGGAAGAGGGAGTGAGGGCGTTTGGAGGGGGAAGGGAGGCCACCCCAGCAGGGGTTGGTCTGAGGAGACAAAGCACCTCTGTCATTTGCAGCAGCCTTCAGTTTCAGCATCTTTTGCTTGAGTTGAGTCTAGTCGACCCGCACAGTGGGCAGCAGGAAGGCACACGCACGGACCGTTGGGGTGGGGTGCCGTGCCTGAAGCGACTTTTGAGGCGCCTCAAAAGCCGTTGGGATGCCGTGCCGTGCCTGAAGCGGCTGAGAGCAGCGCCGCAATCCGATCCCATGCCGCAGAGATTCTAATCTAAAGGTCCTCCTCCGTGCCCTCAGGCTTCGCGTCCTTGCCTTGCCCTGAGCTCAAGTTCAACAAATAAAAGCTCTAAAACACGACCGAATCACTGGGCGGGCAGCAGGCAGGCACTTCCCCTTGGAGTGTCCGAGGCGGCCGAATCTATATCTGAGGCGGCCTCAGAAGCAGACAGGCACTGACCGTTGGGGTGGCGCAGGCGACTGAGCAGCGCAATCTCGTTGTATAAGTCCTCTGTGTCCTCTGGCTTGCCGTGGCGCTCATTTTCTTGAGTCGACTCACAAAGTGGAGAGCAGGCAAACCCTCACCGTTGGGGTGGCGCAGGCGACTGAGCAGCGCGATTTCGTTGTAAAAGTCCTCTGTGTCCTCTGGCTTGCCGTAGCGCTCATTTTCTCTAGTCGACTCACAAAGTGGAGCGCAGACAGGCACGTACCGTTGGGGTGGCGCAGGCGGCTGAGCAGCGCGATTTCGTTGTAAAAGTCCTCTGTGTCCTCTGGCTTGCCGTAGCGCTCATTTTCTCTAGTCGACTCACAAAGTGGAGCGCAGACAGGCACGTACCGTTGGGGTGGCGCAGGCGGCTGAGCAGCGCAATTTCGTTGTAAAAGTCCTCTGTGTCCTCTGGCTTGCCGTAGCGCTCATTTTCTCTAGTCGACTCACAAAGTGGAGCGCAGACAGGCACGTACCGTTGGGGTGGCGCAGGCGGCTGAGCAGCGCAATTTCGTTGTAAAAGTCCTCCGTGTCCTCGGGCTTGGCGTCCTGGTTTGAGTCGACTCACGGGCAGGCAGCCCATGGGCAGCAGCAGGCTCGCGGCTGGCCCTCACCATTGGGGTGGCGCAGGCGGCTGAGCAGCGCAATCTCGTTGTAAAAGTCCTCCGTGTCCTCGGGCTTGGCGTCCTGCTCCCACAGCATCTTCACCGCCACCTCTGTGCCGCGCCACACCGCTCTGAACACCTCCCCGAACGACCCTGCAGTGGGAGGGAGACAGGAAGAGGTGGCACAAGGGGGAAAAAGGGGAGAAAGCGGGAGGGTCGGTTCTTTGGCGCGAGCGAGCTATTTAGGGAACGGAAAGCAGTGCAAAAAGCAGATCAAGCAATCAGCACAAGTGAGCAGGTCTTACCAACGCCGACGCGAATCCCCAGCCTGAGCTCCGAAAACTCAATGGTCCACTCCTGCTGCGGCAGCAACGACAGCTGCTGCACCGCACCCGCCGCTGCCCCCGGCCCCACCCACCCACCCCCTGCCCCTGCCCTCGCTCCCCCCACCGCTGCCCCCCCTCCCACTCCCCCCACATGACTGGCTGATCCAAGCAAGGGGCCTGCACCTGGTTGTGAAACCAGGGGGTTGCCTGAGGGGGGAGGGTGGGGGGAGAGAGAGGAGGACGAGGGGTGGTGGGAGGAGATGGCGAGGGAGGAAGGGGGTTGTGGTGAGAGGCCGGTGGTGGGCGTGTGGGGGTTGGTGGAGTGTGCTTTAGGCGGGGAGGACAAGGGGGTGGTTTCTGCAGAGTCTGTCTGCTGCTGAACCAGCAGCTGCTGTATCCGAGGCTGCGGCGGCGGCTGCGGGTGCTGCTGCGGCGGCTGCGGGTGCTGCTGCGGCGGCGGCTGCGGGTGCTGCTGCTGCTGCTCCTTCTCCTGCTTCTGCTGCTGCTGCTTCTGTTCCTGCTCCTGCTGCTGTTGCGGTGGCAGTGCCGGCACTTGTGGTTGTTGTCGGGAAGAATCCCCTGAGCCCTCATCTCCTCTGCTAACCCCAACCCCAACCCCTTCATTCTCACCATCAGCACTTGTAGAAACGGCATCCGTGCCCCCTTCTCTGCCCTCACCCGCGCCCCTCTTCCCCTCCCCTTCCCATGTATCATCCTTTTCTCTTCCCCCCTGCTCCGCTGCACCCGCCTCTCTACCCTCATGCCCGTCCGGCCCTCTGTCTCTCTCTGCTTCACCCTCCCCACCTCCTCCTCCTCCTCCTCTCTCTCCCTCACTTGCTCCCCCACTCCCACCTTCTCGCCCTTTACTCTCTTGTTGAGCATCTCCTTCTCCCTCCACTGTCCCCATACCCCCCTCTCCTTCGATCCTCTCTGCTTGCCCCCTTTCCACACCCCTCCTCGCGCTGCCACTTCCCTCTCTCTGCCTCGCCCCAGCCCCTGCTCCTGCATCCTCGTGCGGTCCATCCCCCTCCTCCTCCCTCCCTTCCAGACTATTCTCCTCCACCACTCTCTCGAGGCTGTTCGACACTGCTCCACTCCCCACCTCCCTCACTCTCTCAAGCACCGCACTCCTCCCGAACCCCTCCACTCCCTCACCAACTGTTTGCGCGCTCGCTCCTGCTTCACCCCCCTCCCTTCTCTCTGCCTGCCCCGCCTCATCTGCTCCTGCTGCTGCCATCTGCTCTGCTGCCCCTACACCTCCCCCTCCAACCCCGTCTGACCCTGCAACCCTTCCTGCTGCTTCTCCTCCTCCTCCTTCTCCTCCTGCTGCTTGTCCCGCCCCTGCCGCTGCAGTTGCTCCTGCAGCTGGGGTAGCAACGGTCCGTTGCTCCAAAGCATCCCTGAACCCAGAGCTACTCAGGCTGGTTCCATCTGACACAGGGGCAGCAGCAGCAGCAGCAGAGCCGGGTGTGAGGGCGAAAGGGTCGGCCCCGGCAGCAGCAGCGGTGGCAGGTGTGGCAGGGGTGGTGGCAAATGAAGAGCCCCGCGGCAGGGGCTGGTGACACGTGGGGCACACGCGCTGGCAGGAGGGGGGACGGGGGGACGGGGGGCACAAGCGGGAAGGAGGAGAAGGGGAGGAAGAGGGACGGGCTGGGACTATGTAATGGAATTGTGGCTGGCTGGCTGGTTTGGTGGTGAGCATCACAGAAAGGAACATAAAGAGGTGACTTTTGAGTCGACTCAAGAGAGGGAGAGGCTGGGACTACGTAATGGAATTGTGGGTGGCTGGCACTGTGGTGAGCATCACAGGAAGGAACATAAAGCCAACCAACCACAGGTGTATGGAGGAAGGGGATTAGCGGCAAGTGCTCCTTTCACCACCCGTATTTCCTTCGCAAAACATCGGCAGCAGAAGCAACAGCAGCAGATGCAAAAGCAGAAGCAAAGCAGATGCAACAGCAGGAGCAGAGCAGGCAAGAACAGTCAAGGGCAGGAAATCTTCACTCTAGCCCACCATGGCAGAGGCAGCAGAAGCAGCAGCAGGCAGCACGAGCGGCAGAGGGGACGGCAGTACAGAGGGCTCTGATCCGTCCGCTGGTGCTGCTGCATGGGGTGGTGGTGGCGGTTCCACCCTCAGCGCCCTCCTGTCCCTCCGAATCAACTCGTTGTATTCTCGCACCTTCCTGGAAGGTGGGGTGGGCCGCAGAGGGGAGGGCAGTACAGAGGGCTCTGATCCATCCCCGGGCGCGGCTGCATCGGGTGGCGCTGGGGGTTCCACCCACAGCGCCCTCCTGTCCCTCCGAATCAGCTCGTTGTATTCTCGCACCTTCCTGCAAGGTGGGGAAGCAGAGGGGGCATGCGGAAGCGTCAGGCGGGGCGGAGTGATGGTTAATAACCAAGGGAAGAGAGGGAGAGGAGTTTTGAAACGGCTTGAAACGAAAGGAGATGAGCGGGGTAGGAGAGGAGAGGGAGACGCATGCGTGGGGAGTTCTGCAGAGGGGGAAACGGCGGAGAAGAGGTATGGATACAAAATCTTGCTGAAAGGGCACAGGCAGGTAGGCAGGCGATGGGAGGGAAGGAAGCAACGAAGGACCGGAACGCAAGTGAGAAAAAGAGCAGCAGCAGCAGACGATGGTTTCATTCGCCGCAAAAGAAAGCGAGAGGAGGAATGTTATGCTCATAGGAACCATAATGTGGTAGCAATGAGTCGAGCAATACAATGGGGAGAGGAAGGGAAGGGGGAGGGGGCGGCTGTGGGTGAGAGGGAGGGAGTGAGTGGGAGTGAGGGAGGTGAGGGCGTGCGAGTAGCGTGCGAGTAGCGTGTGAGGGGCATGTGAGGCGACTCACTTGGCCACTTCGTCACTGACTTCCAGACGGCGACGACCCCTTTAGCAAGGAGGAAAGGGTGGGCGGCACACAGACAGAGGAAGAGAGGGGGTGGGGGGGGGAGGGCGTGTGAGTGAGGGCGTGAGAGTGACGTGTGAAGCGACTCACTTGGCCACTTCGTCACTGACTTCCAGAGTGGTGCGGCGACGACCCCTTTAGGATGAAAGGGAGGCACACAGACAGAGGAAGAGAGGGGGGGGGAGGGCGTGTGAGTGATGACTTGGCCACTTTGTCACTGCCTTCCAGAGTGGTGCGGCGACGACCCCTGTAGCAAGGAGGAAAGGGTGTGCGGCACACAGCATGGGGGAATAAGAAGACGGAAGAGACGAGAGGGGGGAGGGGGGGACGAAGGAGAAAGGAAGAGAAGGTTTGGTTTGGTGTGTGACATGAGATGCGCCTGAAAGAGGGCAGGAGAGCGGGGGTTTGCGGACGGTGAGAGTGGTGAGAGAGAGCGAGCAGTGAATGAATGGCATTGGGATGGGGCGTGGATGCTGCCAGAGAGAGGGCACAGACACAACACTTGGACGCGAGCAGACAAGAATGCAGCACAAAGCAAGCAAGCAGGGAGAGTGGGTAATTGCAGCGATAGACAGTGGCATGGCAAGGCGAGGGATAGAACCGGGTGAAGCAAGTGGCGGGAGGGAACAGGTTTGGCTCGGAACGGCAAGGAACAGAGATGGGGTGAAAGGTTGAGGCAGACAGGGTTTGCGTTTGCAGGGAAGGGTTGAGGTGGAAAGGGTTTGCGGAAAAGGGTTGAGGTGGAAAGGGTTTGCGGAAAAGGGTTGAGGTGGAAAGGGTTTGCGGAAAAGGGTTGAGGTGGAAAGGGTTTGCGGAAAAGGGTTGAGGTGGAAAGGGTTTGCGGAGAAAAGGGTTGAGGCGGAGAGCATTGAAGGGGAAGACAGAGGGGAGGGGATGGGTGGTTGGGTTGGGTTACCGGGGGGCTGATGGCTCGCCCATGTTGCGCCGGGGAGGAGGGGTGGGCTTGAATGTGGTGCTCCTGGTGGTTGGTTGGTGAACGGGTGGGTGGGTGGGTGCACAGGAAAGTGAAGGTGAGGTGAGGTGAGGTGAGGTGAGGTGAGGTGAGGTGAGGTGAGGTGAGGTGAGGTGAGGTGAGGTGAGGTGAGGTGAGGTGAGGTGAGGTGAGGTATGCCAGCCTGGGAGTGCACGGGATACAGGGCAGAATAATATGCGGCAAAACGGCGTGGATGGGAAGGCGGATTGGGGCGAAATAGGGGTCGAGAATGCGACCAATTCCAAAATTGTTTATGGCTTAGGGTGGGTGGGGGAGGGTGGGAAGAGATGGCGCATGTGGTGTGGGGGACCGGACACGACAACAACTAAACGGGGACGATACGATCACGCCCAAGGAGCACAGCAAAAGAGAAAAAGAGGAGATTATGGCAGGGACCAAGCAAAACAGACAAGCCCATTTGCAGGAAAGGGGAGAGAGGAAAGGGGAGGACTGTAACTGGTGCTCGCTCCCACTGCCAGAGCCGCTACCCGTGCCGCCGAGAGCAGCAGCAGCAGCAGCAGAGCCAGGTGCTGCCCCACCCTGCTCGCTCATTCCTGCCTCCCCTGCACTGTCCCCCTGCCCCTGCCCTGGCCCTGGTGCTTGTGATTGCGATCGTCTGCGTGGCGGTGGCATGGGGTCCAGGCCGGACGAGCCTGGCGCAGATGACAGGTGCCCCTCTGAGTTGATGGAGCTGGGTGGGGGAAGAGGAAGGGGAAGAGGGGGGAAGGGGTGAGGGGAGGGAGAGGGGGGATGAGGTGGAGAGAGGGTGTGAGGGAGAGAGAGGGTGCGTGCGTGTATGCGTGCCAGCCGCCTGTCATGTGCAAAGCTCGAGTGCGCAAGGGGAAAGGCATAGAGCAAACGAGCAGGAGAGGAGACCAAAGGACCAAAGGACCAAAGGACCAAAGGACCAAAAGACCAAAGAGGACTGCGGGAATCAGAGGTGTGGGAGGCGGGGAGGCAAACGGTGCAAGCGAACCTGAGAGAGCCCTGGGGGGTAGCAGCATCCTATTAAAATTTCCAAGGCGCCAACAAAATTGTGACAGGGCGGGGTGGGGGGGTAAAACGTGCGGTGCGAACCTGAGAGAGCCCTGGGGGGTATCTGCATCCTCTGACCCTGCTCCACTCCGCCTGTACGTGGTGACCAAGGCATGGGAGTGGAGGGGAGGGATGTGGGACAGGGGAATGATTGCGGGGGAAAGGGCGCTGCCGCGAGGAGTGGGAGCGGGTGGACGCGAAGGGAGAGGCAAGAATGGCAGGAGTAAGCATGTGTAACACACGGGCACACGGGCACAGGGGCACAGGGGCACAGGGGCACAGGGGCACACGGGCACAGGGGCACACGGGCACAGGGGCACAGGGGCACAGGGGCACAGGGGCACAGGGGCACAGGGGCACAGGGGGTCGCACCGGAAGGCGATGGCAGAGTCGGCAGCCCTGCGGTGCATGAGGCCCAGCGACGCCTTGGCCCTCGCTGATATGAACGGGTGCTCCGGACTGCTGCTGCGGTGGGCAGCGGTGGGGCAGGGTTGGGGTTGGAGGGAGAGGGTAGGGTATGGTATGGTATGGTTCGCTTGAGAGGAGAAAAACAAGTGCAAAGGAAGGGTATGAAGGAACGAGGGGAGAAAGGGAGCAGAAAGAACGACTAGGAGAACAATCGAGCCATAGAGGAGAGCCGCATTACAGGAAGACAGAAGATTAGCAGAGGAGCGAGCAGGACAGGAGGCCAAGACAGGACGGAGCAGAATAATACCTAGAGGCGCCAGAGACGGCAGCAACAGTTTTGAGTCGACTCTAAACACGAGGGAGCAGGACAGGAGTGAGCAGCACAGGAGCGAGCAGGACAGGAGCGAGCAGGACAGGAGCGAGCAGGACAGGAGGCCAAGACAGGATGGAGCAGAGCAGTTACCTAGAGGCGCCAGAGACGGCAGCAACGGCGGCTGCAGCAGCTGCTGCCATGGGACTCGTGATGCCTCCTGCTGGCGATGACACATACCCATCCTCCAACCCACCCATGCCCATACTCATGCCCATGCCCATGCCCATGCCCATGCCCATGTGCCCTCCTGATGCTGAAACCATGCCTCCTGCATGCACGCCCATGCCCCCAACGCCCTCAGGCCCAGAGTCCGTGCTGTTGAGGGGAGGGGAGGGGGGAAGAGGCGAAGGAGGGGGAAGAGGAGGGGGAAGGAGGGGCAGGCGCACATTGCCACATACATTGTATCAAACGAATGGAACTCTGATAAAACTGACTGCAAGCGCGTGCCTGCCTGCTTGTTGCAGCATCATCCAGCGCGGGCGCACTCAGCCATGCCCACCCACGCTCCCTACCCACCTGCCCACCCACCCAGCCTCCCTCCCACCCATCCTGCCTCCCTCCCACCCACCCACCCATCCTGCCTCGCTCCCACTCACCCGCCATCAATGGAGTTAGAGGATGGAGTTCGCGCCATGCGATACGCCCCTCCATGCCCATGCCCAAGGCCATACCCCGCCATGCGCCCACCGCCGCCCCCTCCCCCTCCGCCCATCATCATCATTGCGCCCTCGTTCTCACTCACAGCCCCGCTCGCCCCGTGCCCCATGCCCATGCCCACTATGCTCCCGCCGCTGCCGCCCTCCCCTGGGGATGCCGTGCCTTGCAGGGCGCCTGACCGCGTGTGCAGCATGTGCATCCTGCTGCTGCGGTGGGAAAGGGTGGAGGAGGGTGGGGAAGGGTGGGGGATGCAGGGTTGCACACGTGCAGAGTCCACAGGTTTGCGAGGGGGTATGGTTGTTGAAAGGGAATATGGTTGCTTGGACGGCGATTGATAAGATGCTACGATGTGCTTGAGCCCCAGTGCCATGCAGACCTCCTGTATGGCTCGTGCCGGCTGCGGTGCCTGCGGAACGTGCTTTTCAGTCGACTCAAAACGCGTGTGCATGTCCCCACATCCAGTCGCCCCACCCCGCCATCCTCCCCCCACCCCTCACCAACCCCTGCACGGCTCACCTGCCCCCCAGTGCCATGCGATCCTCCTGTATGGCGCGTCGCCGGCTGCGGTGCCTGCGGAATGCATTGGCCTCGGGCTCACTCGTGGGGCTGCTCACCGCACAGAGCGCACAGCACACAACAGCGCACAAAGTGGTGCGGACAAGTCACAAGACGTGAGTATGGGGCACAAACGAAGCGGGAACAGCGGAGACAAGGGGTGAGGGAGAGGGGAGGGACGAATGAGGGGTGCAAAGAGGGGTGGAAAGTGAGGGGTGCAAAGGGGAGAGTCACATTAGCCAAATCGTATTTTCAATGAGCCATAACCAGGGCCACCACGCTCACTCCTCACCTCCTCTCACATCACAGCCACAGCACAAGCACCACAGCATCTAAGCCTGCCTGGATTAGATTAGACAGAAACCCACCATTGAGCTGAGCGCACCTTATATTGGAGCCAGCGAACGCCCCTGAGGAGGCCGCGGGGATGAGGAGAGGGTTGGGGTTGGCTGCTAGGTTGGGTCGTCGAGAGGAGCGGCCCGAGAGGTACGACATGTAGCGCTCCACACTGGGGGGAGAAGTGGGGTGAGGACGGGGAAAGGAGGGGGAGACTGTTGAGGCGCCTCAAGAGAGGTACGACATGTAGCGCTCCACACTGGGGGGAGGAGGAGGGTGGGGAACGGGAGGCAGGTTCGGGGAGAAAGGGGAGGGGATGAGCAGTGTGAAGAGGACAGAGAGAGGGGGGAAGGCAGGAGCAGCAGCCAGAGTGGTAAGACATGTAGCGTTCCACACTGGGGGGAGGAGGAGGGTGGGGAACGGCGACGGACATATCAACTGCATTTTTTAGATTCCCAGAACAGCATTTGGCTAGGCTCTTCTCTTCTGTGTGCGCCTCAAAACCAGCACTAGGCTTGAGAAAATCCTCTGAAACAGCTATATCCTTACGATCTGGTTGCGGCTGCAACGCCCGTGCCGCCCAGTGCTGTATTCCCTCCATCCAGCAACGACGGCGGCTGCTGCTGGTACTGCTGCTGCTGCTGCGGCGGTGGCACCTGCTGCTGCTGCTGCTGGTGCTGCTGCTGGAAGCGAGAGGTGTACGCCGCGGCTTGGGAAAAGGCAGAGTCTACTGGATCTAGCGATGAGCCCGTGAGGGAGGAGAGAGACGGCCCCGTCTGTCGTGAACTGTTGGGGAAAGTGGGTAGGACGGAGAGAGACAAGGAAAGGGACGGCGGATGTCTTTTGAGTCGAGGTGTACGCCGCGGCTTGGGAAAAGGCAGAGTCTACTGGATCCAGAGATGAGCCCGTGAGGGAGGAGAGAGACGGCCCCACTTGACGTGAGCTGCTGGGGGGAATGGGTGGGAGAGAGAACGGAGGGGATTTTTTAGTTGACTAAAAAATTGTCTCAGCTGCAGCCTGGGAAAAGGCAGAGTCTACTGGATCTAGCGATGAGCCCGTGAGGGAGGAGAGGGGCGGCCCCAACTGTCGTAAGCTGCTGGGGAAAACGGGTAGAAAATAGGAGGGAGGGGACGGCTTTTAAGGCGACTCAAAAGTCACCTCGTTATGAAAAGACGGCCCCACCTGACGTGAGCTGCTGGGGGGAGAGGGTACGAGAGAGAACGGAGAGGGCGGCATTTGAGGCGACTCAAAAGTCGAAGGGAGGGGACGGCGGTTATGGGAAAGGGTGGAGGAGAGGGAGGGAGGGAGTCAGAAAGGTATCACGAGGTGAAGAGTGGTGACGCTGCCTGTCTGGCAGAGGGAACGAAGGCAGGAGCGGGGGCAGGGCAGAACAGGCGGAGTTACAGGTATGGTAGAGCCGGGCGGGCAGGATTGTGGTGAGATCAAAAGGGTGAGTGCAGATATCTAGAGCAGCAGGGTTCTGGATTGATTGATTGATGCACATGTATGTATGATGTATCAGCATCAGCACCTGGGGCGCCGCTGCAGCAAAGCAACGAGAGAGTCAGAAGCAAGAGAGTGGGAGGCAGGAGGCAGGCAGGAGGAGGCGAGAGAGCTGGTGGTGCAGAGCAGAGCAGAGCAGAGCAGAGCAGAGCGCATGGAATGACATGAGGCACCCACCTGCGGTACACGTCTCCCCTCTCCCTCATCATTGTGGGCCTGCGCGTGTACTCGCTGCCATTGGGTGGAACACGGGGTGGCGAGAGCGAGACGAGAGAGGAGAGTGGGGGGGGGGTGTGAAAGATAGGGAGAGAGAGTGAAAGACGGGGAGAGCGAGGGAGGATGTGTGCAACGGATGAGTGACACGGCACGAAAGGGCAGGCGGGCAAGTGCGCAGGGTGTGGGAGGATGAGATGATACAGGCGAGAAGATACAGGCGAGAAGGAAGAGGGGAGATGATACAGGCGAGAAGGAAGAGGAGAGAGGGGAGAGGAAGAGGGGAGAGGAAGAGGGGAGATGGGAGAGGTTGAGAGGTGCGAGGGGGTTGATGAGAGCGCACCTATCGCTGAGCATGGAGCGTCTGCCGTAGTCGCCAGCACTGCAGATAATAAGAATTGATGAGAGGATTGTGAGGGGATTAGGGAGGGGGGGAGTGTTTTGAGTCGACTCAAAACATAGTCGCCAGCACTGCAGATAATAGGAATTGATGAGAGGATTGTGAGGGGATTAGGGAGGGGGGGAGTGTTTTGAGTCGACTCAAAACATAGTCGCCAGCACTGCAGATAATAGGAATTGATGAGAAGATTGTGAGGGGATTAGGAAGGCGGGAGCAAAGGGGGGGAACAGGGTGTGGAGAGAGATCAAGGGACAGCTAGAAAAGAGTTGCTGTGAGTGGGAGGGCGGAATGGAAGGAAAATATGAATGGGAGGAAGGATGGGATGGGGGAAGGATGGGATGGGGGGAGGAAGCAATTCAGATGGGAGATGTGAGGGAGCAGCAAGTATGTCTGGTTCACTTTGGCCGCATGTGTGTGTGGGTGTGTGTGTGTGTAGTGTGTGTATGGGCGTGTGTGTGTAGTGTGTGTATGGGCGTGTGTGTGTGTTGGGGGGGGGGGGGGGGGGACGTGTGTGTGTGTGTGCGCGCGCGTGTGTGTGTGTTGGGGGGGGGGGGGGGAGGGGGCGTGCGCACGTGGGAACGAGCGCGAAACAAGGAGCACGCGTGTGCATGTGGTGTTCCTCCCACACACTGACTAATGCACGCACGTCTGCTAATTCCATGCCATGCCATGCCCCGTACCTTCTGTAACCGTCCATGCCAGGGTCCCCTGTGAGGTACGGCCTACGACCCTGAGTATCGCTGTCATGTGGATGGGGGGATGGGGGGATGGGGGGATGGGGGGGCGCCACCCACCCACGCACGCCATGCCACGCCACGCCATAGCCATAGCCATACAATACCATGCCATACCCAGCCCATTCCACACCAAGTCATGCCACGCCACGTCACATCCATCACCAAGCCGCACGCAAACAGCACGGAGGGGGAGTAGGGGAGGAACAGGATGGGGACGGGGGAGAGAGAGAGGGAGGGGTGGTGAGGGAGAGAGAGACGGAGGGGCGGGAGAGAGGGAGAGGTGGGGGGGAAGGAGGGAGAGAGGTGGGGAGCGGGGGGAGGGCGGAAGGTTGGGGGGGAGAGTAGGTTGTCATGCGGGGATAGAAGATAAAGCAGAGGTTCACCAACAGGGGGAAGGGAACAAACACAACTCCTCTTCTCGTTCGGTGCATATGATCATATGTTCACCCGAGCTTCCACAACCTCCTCCTGTGTATCGAGAAATATCCCCCTTTCTAGAATTCTCAGAAACGAACAACCCCCTTTGGAGCCCACCGTTTTCTCGCACGCGAATCAAGGCGAAGGCAAGCAAGCAACCCATGACAAGAAAGTCACTCCAGACTATGCGTGACACGAGACCGGAACCGGTTACTGGAAAACGGTGTCAGTCGACTAAGTTGATCCAGAACCACCGAGTCGCTGGTGACACCGAGCCGCTTACCTGAGTTCACCCGGCGTCGGGTCGCCTTCCGTGGCGCGTCTGTGCGACACGGATAGCGACGAGCGGCCACGCGGACGAAGGAACGACGCGTCCATTATCCCGCTGCCGCTGCCGCCACTGCCGCTGCTGCCGCCGCTGCCTGGGCCACCCATAGCGGCAACGGCGGCGGCCGCGGCGGCGGCGGCGCTAACCCGCTCCATGCTGTTAGGCCGCATGGCGATCCTCTGACCCTCTTCGTCATGCCTCTCCATCTATCTCCTGACCGTTGAACGCTTTCCGGTCTCGCCTTGGTCGGCCGAACACTCACACTCCTCCGCTCGCCTCAGTCGGCCTTCCTGACCTAATTCCGTTCTTCCCGCTTCCAGATGCTTTCCTTCTACGGACCTTGCGAGGACGTTAGTTCCCTGCTAGTTCCTCCCTACTTCCGCTCTAGTCTCTCCCGAGCTCCTGTCGAGCTGCTCCCTAGCTGGTTGATAGTTCCTCCTTAGCTCCTACCCTAAGTCAATTTTAATTCCTGTCTTCCTCCTCCTTTCCGCTTTCTCTCGTTCTCCTCCGGCCCCCAACACTGACGCTGATTGCTCCAGTCGCCCAATCACCACCCCTCGTCTTCACCTGCAGGGCCTAGGGCACGTTATTTCGTTTCCTATGCAGGCATCTCCCATCGTTTCATCACATGCTTCTCGGCACGCTTTTCCGTCAGATGAACCCGCGCCGTAGGTTCGGTACGGCAGGTAGTCGCTTGAGTGCACGGGTAGCAATCGGGATTCGTAGAAGGGGGGGGGGGGGGGGGAGGAAAGCCAACAATCCACACCCGACGCAACAGCAAAGGCCGAGCGAGTGGCCAATGCGCCTTGACGAGCAAAAATGGCGACAAAAAACGAACTTATTGCCGTTGCTCCCGCGAAAGCAAAAAGCGTTATCAAGTTTCCATGTAGGGGAGAGTGTCGTTGTCGATACCTAAGGTACCGTAAGAGGTGTAGTCGTAGAAACAACCAAGCGTATGGGAATACAACGGTTGAAACGAATGTTGGCTGCTACGACGAAATTATCCTACTCCACATGAATCCTACTCCAACATACGCGATGTGAGTAATAAATGAACTCAATGGCATGTGTAGGTAACCAGGGAACTGATAAGGACAGCCCTAATCTCCACATTCCCTGCTAGCGGAGCGAAGAAAATTGGACTACTGCGAGAGCGCTGTGAGGGAGAGGGGAGAAGGTCGGGGCGGGGGGAAGGGGGAAGAGGGCAAGGGGCGGAGGGGGAGCGGAGGTGAGTTGGCCTGTGAACAGCTCGAAAGGCCTACAAGCTACAGTAACTGAAAGATCGGGCGCGTGCAGAACAGCAGTCCCCCCCCCCTGGTTTCCCTTGTTGAAACGGGGGATTTCTGGGGCGAAGGCGGAAAGGGGAGCAGTTTGGTTTGGATGGTTCAGTCAGAGAGGGGACATGGGGATGGTTTGGAAGCTGTGTGGGAAAGGGGACAGGGGGATAGGTGCGGAGAGGGGATAGGTCGGGGGGGTAGGTTCGGGGGGGGAAGGGGAAGTTACAGTAACAATAACAGGCGGACTGTGGCTCTTTCCGACACGACAGCAGTGCTGAGGAGGTGATGACGGCGATTGCATCGGCGGATGGTCGTTGACCAGAGAGCGGGCGCGGACAGCGGGACTGCGGTGATGCTGACGACGAGTCAAAAAGCTGTTCAGCTGGACAGTGGGCAGTGGCGGGTACAGCTTGGGAAAACGGTTCGGCGGGAGAAGGGGGACTGTGCAATGCTGTAGTGCCACTGCGCCTACTGCTGATTGTGGCGGTGTCGCGCGCCAGAGGAATCTCGATATACGGTACACTTGCAAGTGAGTGGTGAGTATGAGAGGAAGTTGTGCCTGGGAGTTTAGTTATCTTCTCATTCTTGTAAGTTCTCTAATGAGTGAGTGATGTAAAACCTACCTGGATTATATCATAAGATTGCCTTGCAGGATTAGTTTCCAATCTATCCCAGTACAATCAAAAGGGTTTCCTCCTCAACCATAACTTCTCTGCATAAGGTGTGTACAACGGCTTTCTGTAGGAGCAAGTTAGCTCCCTGTATGATGCGCGTGCCTACCTAGTCAAAGAAGCTGCTTCCTTTAATGCAAAATGCACAAACATACAAAAAGTTGCTCCGACTGTACTTTCACCTCTGTTTGGCAAAAAAACACTGAGCGATACGACAGAGGGGCTCTCGTTCACACTGAGCGACATGCAGTGCTGAGAATGCATTGCATAGCGCATTGAACTCCGAGGCAACTGCCCTGTAAGAGGGTTCCATGGGTGGCAGGCACAGCCAGACGTGCATGCAATCACATGTTGACAACAATTCCACAACAAGACTCCATACCACCTAAGAGCATCCAGCATGCTACCGGTATTAAGCCTACCTAAAACTGCCTAGCCATCCTAGACTAAACCCAAGGCACCGACCCGCAGCTAGACAGCGACTAAGGCACAATCGCAGGGTTTCCTGCAGGCACCGTTGGTATTGTCCCCGCAGCAGGTGCAGCAGTTTTCCCAGCAGCAACAGGGGTGAGCGTTGCAGGGACTTCCTTGACTGGGGCTGCTGCCTTCCCAACTGGAGTTGTTGCTACAGGAGCAGAATCCTTAGGAGCTGGGACCTTAGCAGGAACCTTGGTAGCTGGAACTGCAGGAACCTTCCCAAGAGGTGCCTCAACAACTGCAGGGATCTTCCCAAGTGGCGCTTCTACAACAGGGGGCAATTTGACAGGCTTCTTGGGGATGGCAGGAGGAGCATGCACCACAGGAAGCTTGGCAGCAGGTGGCAGAATTTTCCGTGAGGGAGCAGTTTTGGGGGGGAGGGCAGGGGGCAGCTTCCACTTGCCCTGACCCTTGAAGAACAGCGGGGGAGCAGGAGGGGTTCTCTTGACTGGCCGGGGAGGAGGGGGGTTTGGGGGAGGGGGTGAGGGGGGCGGGGGGTTGACATAAGGAGGAGGGGGGCTGGGGCCATTGCGCTTGGGAGGATGTCTGGGGGCCTTGGGGGGAGGGGTCCTCCAGGGGGGAGGGGAGACGGGCGGCTTGGGTGGCGAGGGATAGGGCTTGGGAATGAGCTCCTCAAGGGACTCGGCGTACTTCTTGGCCCAGGGTATCTGCACCCACATGCGCGTGAGCGAGTTGCCAGGGCTGTTGCCGCTGCGGAAGGCACCCAGGCTGGCGAGGAGGCCGGCAAAGACAGCGTTGAGGTGCAGCAGGGGCTCGCTCTGCTGGGGCACTGTGCGGTCGTCCAGGTACGAGTCGTCCCGCGCTGGACCGCCCACGATTGCTCCCACGAGAACGTTTGGATTGGGGTACTTGGACCTGGAGCAGGGATGGGGGGGTAGGGGTGTAATATTTCAGGACGGGAGAAACAGCTCCGTGCGAGGATCATGCCTAGATCTAAACGGCAATGTTATGACCTTCTGCATGTCTGAGCGTTGCACGTGTGCACTAGATCGAAGGAGGTGCGCACTTGAACCCTAGTGTTTAATCCTAAAGGGAGAGTTTAAACTTACACTTTAAAGCGCTGGCCAGTAGCGCAGTCAAAGGGCGTTGGATCAACGTGCTTGGACGTGATGGACGCGGCCCTATGGTGCACGCGCGTGGGGTACTTCTCCCCGAAGCCCACCATGTAGCTCATCTTCTGGGGGTTGTCGCCCAGGATGTAGTTCACCTGCACGCACAACCAAGCGCAACCAGCGAGTCCGTAAGGGACCTAACGACTTAACTTTCCCGCCAGGCATGAAAAGCCGCAACCAGGGCAGTCAGGTGGGTGGCGGCGAAAGCAGCAGACTCCATCACGATGACGCACAGCTGCCACCGCCTTGACACGTACAGTTGCGATTCCACAAGGGGAAAACGACCCGACCCAGTGCACGCACCTGCGAGGCGGCGAAGTCGACGATGTCGTCGATGGTGGCGTCGCAGTCAAGGTAGTGCGACGAGACGTTGGCGTTGATGGCGATGCGCAGGTAGTCGCTCACCAGCACCGACAGGAACCCCGCGTTCACCGCGTACTGGATCGGATGGTCGTCGTTCACGTAGATCAGCCCGCCTGCACGCCCCGGTGGAAAGAGGGAGAGAGTGAGAACAGGGTAAGAGAGTGCTGACGCTGTGCACTCTTATTACTGTTAAGAGCTGACGATCGGGCCGCAGAAGGCTTGTGCGAACAACGCGAACGGACTTAATGGTGAAAGAAGGTCACGAAGGGAGCGGGATGGGGAGATGGCGCAAAGTTAGATGGGAATGGTGAGGGTTGTGCGGGAGGGGGAGTGGTGAGCAGAGGGAACGGTGATTAAAACCCGCGTCTCAAATTTCAGGAACCCAACCAAGTGTAATACGTATGAAACTTGGTAACCCCACTTCTGGTCGCCAAAAAGCACAAGGTTGGTTTGGGCCCTTGAAACACAACTCACCCAGGGGTGCACAATGACCAACGAGGCTCGTAATTAGGCTTGACACGGCCCATCTGCCGCCGAACACCCTGCACACCAACCAAGCTGCGACGCCCCCCTGCGCGACAGAACGCACTGTGTAACGAGGGCTGTGCGACGTCTAACTCAAGCGGCGAAAGCCCGCCCACGCAGAGCAACCGTATTACTGCCTAACTAGAAAAAATGTGAGACAGAGAAAACGAATGCACGCTACTCACTGTGACACACGACACTACCAGCACACATCCTCCCCGCTTACTTCTTCGACTCCTAGAAAGCAAACGCGTGACTCTAACACATTCCCCCCAATTATACACTTATTCTACACCGCGCAAAAGTGAAGGTCCACTTACCGCTGTCGGTGAAGTTGGCGTGGAGCCAGTGCGGCGTGTGCTGGCACACGTAGAGCTTCGCGGCGTTGAGGTACGTCTGCAGGTACTGCGGGATCTGCCCCTCGTTGCCCGCCCCGTACCCCAGCATCAGCAGCCGCGTCATCAGCACCTGCATGCGTTGGCGAGAGACGCAAGATAGACAAGATGAGCGCCCATATCAAGAGAGACGAAACAAGAGAGACGAAAAAAACCGAGACTGCACCACTTCCAGTCTGGCATCCCAGAACCCCAACATCCACTTCAAACAGGTCCAAGCCTCAATACTCCACTGCTTTCCTCGCCATAGCTGTCTACTGCGACTCCCAGAACCACCACCCACCTGCACGCCGGGCGCCTTGTTGTCCCAGTCGAACGTCTTCGTGCCGGGACCCCACTGGTTCGTCTCGAAGATGTACGAGTTGGGCCCGATCACGTAGTCCAGGTACTTGGTGTCTCCCGACGCGAAGTACAGCCACGTGGCGCCCCACATGAGCTCGTCGCCGTACCCCGTGGAGTTATACTCCGTCTGCGCCGCCTCCACCCAGTCGCTGTACCTTCCGCGGTACTCGTCCGCGTACTCGAAAATCTCCTCCGCGCTCTGCAGGAGCTGGTCCGCATACGCGGGGTTGCCCACGCGGAACGTGAGCGAAGCGGCGGCGAGCGCGGCGGCGTATTCGCCCGCGAGGTCGGAGCAGGGGTGCGTCACGTCGCAGGGGAACATGGTGGGGCGCTGCGCGGGCTTCATGTCCTCCGGCCGGATCCAGCACACGTCGTCAATCTCGGGCGTGCCCACCTGCGCGAAGATCAGGTCCTGGTATCTTGAAGCGAGGATGTACTGTACACCCCAGTCTATGAGCTCCGCCATTTCGTTGTGCATATTCACGAGCCGGTACACGGACTCGTATTCCAGCAGAGACCAGCAGAGCATGGTCACGGTGTAGGCCAGCGGGAAGTGGTACTTGATGTTGCTGCCGCCGATGTAGTATCCGCCCCGCAGATCCCGGTTCTGATCCTGGCCGTCCCGCATCCCCGAGTTATTTCGCCAAGTGATGGGATAACCCGGGGGTAGTTTACCCGCTGAAACCAGCAACAAAGAGTGTGGATGTCAGAGACATCGACGAAATAAAAGCGCACAACGTTCAGATCTGCAACTAGCTCCTTCTCGTTCTTTACAGCTTGCGGAGATAATATTACGCTGAGCGGTTTCTTACATGTTTGTAGATGCGTGGCTGGCGCGAGCAGAGGCGCGACTCACATTTCTGGGTTTCGAGGAAGAGCAGGGCCATCTGGATCTTGGATGTGATGGTGACGTTGATGGGCGGGGGCGGAAGCGGAGCGGGAGGTGGAGGGGGTTCCTCTCCTTGCATCGACGCGAGCTTCACACCGAGGAAGACGGACGCTGCGAGGATGGCGACACTGCCAGCCATGGCGAAGGCGAGAATGATGGCCGATGACTTCCCACTGCGAGGCAACAACGGGGAAAAGGTTGAGCACAAAGAGTAAGTTCAGGGAGAGCCATGAGCTGCGAGCGCGGAAAAGGAGCGCTGGCAAAGGAGAGGAAGCTTCATGTCAGCCCGTAATAAAAAAACCCAAGGGTATCAGGATGTACAAAGATAGGCGAAAAGAACCGCGAGGACAGGAGAGGGAAACATGGATGAACGAGTCACTAGGAAATGCATCAGCGAGCGAAGGGAGCCGGTTAAGAAGTTAAGAAGAGAGGTTTGAAAGCAAAGTTAAGCATGACGTATGTTCTGCTCGACCTGTATACAACATTTTCTTTCATTTATCCAGTCTTTCCATGACCAAGGCCATGCAGCTATAGTAATACGGATCTGGTGATTTATGTGTTTTGCTTACTTGGAACTTGAAAGACTGTATTGAAAACATTCTAAAACGACCGAACAGATAGGTAACATAGGGAAGAGGCGAGTCCGGAAAAGCGTCTTACCCTCTTGTGGGGTCGAGAGGGACATATTGCCGATTCATCCCCATGTTGAAGGCCGAGTGACAAAAATGTCAAGAAGTTTAGAGACTTTGTGCAGAGAAGAAGCAGTTGAGCTGAAACGCAGTGGCGGGAACCTTGTGTGAAGCTAATGGCGAAAATGACTTCGCCTGAAGCACCCCATTGATACTATAAGCTCGCTGAAGTTTGAACGATCATTATATATTGTTATTACTCTTGGCACTAGAGAGGAAGAGATTCGACGCAGGACCAAGTAGGCTGGTCGGTAAGCAGCTATACTTCCCTGTCGGCTCCCATAAGAAGGCGATTAGCTGATATGATGAGCTACGCAATCAAAAGCAGCTTCAGAATCTGATTACGCAAAAGAAGCAGATGACTGATTTCAACAGACGTCCACCCGATGATCTCTAGGCAAGGGGGTCACTCACATCCTGTGCCCCCACTCCATCGGGCTGGGTGTCCTTACAAAATGGCGCGAAACCAAAATTGTTGGCTGGAAAGCCTGTGTGACCAGTGAAAGAGGTTCGGGCAGATCTCAGCACCACCCAGACCGCGTCTGGTATGGCAAAAAAGCAGCCACGAGCCGGTCGAACGCTTCCCCCGAGGCGGAAGCCACCCTCACCCGCCGACTCCCCGCTACGCAATCAAAGAGCCCGAAGCCCCGCGTGACGGGTATCTTTTGCTGTGTGGTATGGTAGGGGTCAAGTGAGCTTTGGAGACAATGATGATATGTGATTGGCTTTGAAAGGGGCAGAAATTTTTGTCTCACCGTCCCCAAGCCTGATTTCTGCTAAGTTTAGTGGTTCGGGCTCGGTTTGAGCGGAAGTGCCAATGTCGTACCCTTACTTTCTGACAGCCTGACAGCATGCCAGATCGACGTGCCACTGACAAATAGAAAAGCGAGACTCGACAGTAGCAGAAGTCAGCGACTCTGCGCCCTTGACAGGACAAATGAAGCTACACTCATGAGGATCACGTCGATGTATACTTTTCATGCATGAGAAAAGCATGGGCAACACACCATAACAAACACAATTCTACCTACGTGCACATGCGACCGAGCTAAACAATTCCACAAATTCATCCCAACTAGATCACTAGAGATTCTCAAAACCCATTTATTCCTTTGACTAAAGCCCTCTTCTTCCCAGCCACCGAAATCCCTTTAGAGGGTTTCCATTCTTTCCTCCCACCAATTCCTGCACCGACAGCCCTCCCCCACTACTAGACCTCAGAAGCCTCCTTGTTGGGGTAGCAGGCGCAGAACCACCACCAGCCGACGAGCCGCCGCCAGCAGCAGTAGTATTCCTCCGCCGAGCCTTCCTCTGCCTCTCAACATCCGTCATCTCCCCAACCACTTCACCAATCAACTGCATCGTCACAGCTTCCTCCACCTCCCTCACCACCCCCACCATCTCCTCAATAACATCCACCCAGCGGTCCACACCCCTCCCCATATCCCGCCGCGCCGCATCATCCAGGATATCATAAACCTCTTCCGACGCCGCCACAGGCCAGTCGTGAATCTCCCCCCACACCTCCTGCAGCAGAGCCAGCCCCACCGGCCGTGGCCGCACCAGCGGCTCCCGCAGCCCCTCAGCCCAGACCGGGAGCTCCACATACGGCCCCAGCCGTCTTCCCAGTGCTTCGTTCACCGCGTCAAACAGTAGCCGGCGCTGCCGCCGCTCCTCAGCCTGTGTGCTTCCGGGAGGGAATGCCGAGGAAAGTAGCGGTCGAGGGGATGCGGCGGCAACGATGCTGGATTCCAAGTGAGGGAAGATGTGCGGCGGGATGGGGCGGTCTTGTGAGTCGAGCGGGGGGAGGCGAGGACCGGCGAAGCCAGCTGCTATGAGGATGTGGCGCACGTAGTCTAGGTCTTGCTCCATGCCCTCTGCATCCATGCCTCCTATTCCTCCCATGCCCCCCATGCCGCCCATCATGCCGTTTGCATGCATAGGAACGCCTGACTGCATGCATGCGCCTGCACTTGCACCCATGGTCACACCCGAGCCCATGCCCGATGCTCTATGCCCGGTTTGGTCCGTGCTGCCTGTGCTGCCACCAACTCCCGTGCTGTCTCGGCTTGATGATGCGTCACGGTGACACTGGTCTTGATGATGCTGATCTTGATGATGCTGCTGCTGGTGCCGCTGCTGCTGATGCAGCTGGTGATGGTGATGCTTGCTGTGAGATGGTGAAAGCGGTTGATGCTGCCGATGCTGCTGGTGCTGCTGATGGTGTGGGTGAAAACGGTTGATGTGGGCGGCACCAGAGGAGGCGGGATCATCGGCGAGTGCATGCGGCGGTGGAGACAGCACCCGCGGCATCACGTCTCCTGGCAGCACCACAGCCTTAGATGGCCGCACGGAGGACAGAGAGGCTGACACAGGCGGTATAGTCGGCACTGCACAGGGTAGTACACATGGACGAGAGAGGGGGCGCAAGGAGAGAGAGAGGGAGAGTTGTTGAGGGATGGAGTGGCCGCTTTACTTCTTGAGTTAAAAAGGAGAGAAAAGAGAGAGAGCAGGCAGGCGGAACTGAGAGAGGGGCGGCACAAAGGGCAGCACATGGGGGTAACAGGCCACATAGGAGGCAGGGAGGCCAACTGCTGAGCGGCAACAAACCCCGCAGCAGCAACAGCAGCAAGGAAACTCCGCTCCAGCTCACTTACCCCAGTTCCCTTCTCGCCCCTCGGCCTCTGTCTCCCCAGCTGGTCGGGCAGCCTGACTGAAGTCCAGTGTTGACACCGGGCTGTGCTCCTGCCCGTCCTCGCGCACAAGCTGCCAAATGCCGCCACCCACCGCACCATCGGCAGCTCCCGCTCCGCCATTCTTCCGCCCTCCTGTCCCGACTTCCTCCAAACCTCCCGGCTGCGCCGCTTGCGCTGATTGCATCAGCTGCTGCGTTGGCTGGCTGTTGCTACTGCAGCCGCTGCCGCTTTCATGGTTATTGCCGTTGCCGTTGCCTCTCCCATTGCCATGTTTATTCTCTGCCAGGCTGTTGCTCCCTGCCGCCGCCGCAACCACTCCCCTCTCCTCTCGTTCCCTCTCCTTCTCTCTCCTTCCTTTCCCCTCGTCCCCTCTCTCCTCCCTCAGTCGCTCCCTCACTCGCTCTTTACCTCTCTCCCTCTCCTTCTCTCTCTCCCTTCCCTTCGCTCCGTCCTTCTCTTTCGCCCGTGTCACGGGTTCCGTTCCCCCCGCCCTCTCTCTCGCTCTATCACTCCCGCGTCCTTGCCGCTCTTTCCCCCCACCCCTGCTCCCCTCCCCCGCCTCCCGCGCCTCCTGCTTCCGCCACTCTGCTTCCCGGCTCCCCGCCATGGCGGCCGCAGCGGCGGCGGCGGCGGCTTCCGCTTCCGCGGGGGTGGCGGGGGAGGCGGACTGAAGCCACTCCTCCACCTCCTGCAGCAGCCGCGATTGCTTCAGCTGCCGCGACGACGAGCCGCGCTTTACATCGCCGCCGGGGAGCCTCGCAAGCGCACTCGCCGTCAGCGGGCTTGAGCAGCCGCTGCCTCGGCCACTTCCGCCGCCATCACCGCCGCCATCACCGCCGCCATCCCCGGCGATGTGGTCACTGGAAGAGACGTGTCCGTGTCCCTTGGCGGCTCGACTCCTGCTCTCGCCTCCACGGAGAGACGGGTTGCTCGTCGAGGCGCCTGATGACGTGGCAGAGATCCCTTTCTTGTCGTGGCTGCGCCTCACTCGCGCGGAGTTCCCGCCGCTGATCGTAGAGGCGACGCTGCTGCTCTTCCGCGCGGTCCCCGCAGGAACCGCTGCTGCGCCCATTCCGCCTGCAGCCGCTTCCTCAGGCGGGAAGTTCGCGCTCTCTTGCGCGGCACTGTTGCCTCCCGCGCTCCGCCCGGCCGCGGAAAAGCCCACCGCCGCGCCCGCCGCCTCCCCAGTTCCTGCCCCCGATTCCGCCCCAAGCCCGTTCCCTAGGGCTATCGGTCTTGCGCCATCCCCGCCCCCGTCCATGGTTTCCGCGGTCGTGGTTCCGCCAGCAGTAGTGCCTCCTGCCGCGCGCGGCCGACACTCTCCGCCTAATCCTTCCGCCGCTTGTGCTCCGCCGCCTGATCGCCCGCCCACGATTTCTGCCGCGCAGGCGGAGCCGTTATGCGCGTCCGGCGAGTCGCTCGTATTCAGCGACGCGTTAACCGGCACCACGCGGCTTCTGTTACCGCCGTGAGAGTTAAGGCGGAGGTGCTCGTTCGCGCTCTGCGCTCGCAGCGCGTCTCCCCGCTCCCTGCCGCCGTGCCTTGCGGTGGAGTTTCCGCCGGCGCCGCCAGCGCTGCCGGTCGTCACGGCCGCCAGGGCGGCGTGCGCAAGCGCCTTGGGGTCGTGCTGGCGCGCTTTCGCACGAGAAGCATCGGCGGAGGTGGAGAGGCGGGAAGCCGCGGGGATCGGGGAGACGCTGCGCTCTTTCCGCGAACGGCCCATTACTCCGCCTAGCACGGGAACTCCTCCCACTCCCGCTCCCGCTCCCGCTCCCCCTCGCGATCCGGCTCCTGCTGCTGCAGCCAACGACTGCGCCGACGGGGGGCCGCTCCGCCCATCGAAGTCGTGGAAGAGCGCGCGGGGGGAGGACTCCGCGGAGCTGTTATTGGCGGAGACGCTGGTGCTCCGCGGCGCCCCCGCGAGTCCCAGGAGACGGCGGAGGTACGCGGATGTGCGGCCGGAAGTAGAGGGACCCGCGCCGTCGGGGGGCTGGAGTGAAGAGAAGCGGGGATTAGAAAGGAGGGGGAAACGGTGGGTGGCTTATACTGCACCGCTTATTCGTTTCCAACGAATCCAGCTCCTAAGAGTCTAAGAATCCAAGGATCCTTTGGGAACTGCACAACCGCCATGAGCTTTTCGATGCTATCCCGCCGTTACCGCTCAAGAAGCGAAGGAGAAAATGCCCGAGGCAACTCATGTCGACTCGGCCCGACTCGACCCCACTCGGCTAGAGCGGCCACTCGATTAGGCTCGACTTGGTTCGGCTCGGCTCGATTCGGCTCGGCCCGAATCAAAACCCGAGCTCGACTCGCTGCGACCTGGCTTTACTCGACTCATTCCAAGGCGTGCGACATACCTCCGGCGCAGCGCCGCCAGCAGCGAGTGCGGAAACGTGCGCGTGGAACTGATCGTTGCGCGCCAATGCCTCCAACACCGTTTGACTCAGCGCCGGCGCTGCTGGGGCAATGGGGAAGGGAAGGGGGACGGTCAGCGGCGGGGGCAGCGTGGGGGGAACGGGGGAAACGAAGCGGGGACACGCAGGCCGTAGGAGGTGAATGCAGGTGCGGATACTTATGATGTCAATGGAACAGCGCAATGGCGTATGGAGTCCATACCATGGAGTGATGCGCCGTACAGTAAAGGAAATCACAGTGGAGGTTGAAGAGGAAGGGGAATCGACGACGCACGGGAACAATGAGAGAATATGCTGAGTTCTGAGACGTAATAGACTAAAGTGGGGAAGAATATATAAGATACTCTCCAGAGGAAGCTAGGTTACAGGACGGGAGGGAACGATGGAAGGGCAGTCTAGCTATCTCAGGGCCGCTGGATTTGGGCAACGTACGAGTCATATGCGGCGTTAGCAGCGACGGGGGATCAGCGTGGGCTGCCATGGCGACAAATCCAGCAGCGGGTGATCGACGTCTAGGCACTCTGAGTCTCAGAAACCAGGATTCTTGGCTCGTAAGAGCGTGTGCGTGGATTTTGAGTCACCGTTTTTCCCACCTATAGTCTCACAAGGACTCGCTTTTAATTTGTTACACTGGATTTACACGCCTACGTGACGAAGGAACTACCAGCATATGGATGCTCTTCCTCGCGTAGCTCGTCACTTGTCCTGTACCACCGCGATTCTGGTTGAAAGAAATCAATATGCTACTAGAGCTTACGCTCCGCATCCATGGAAGCGACGATCAGATTCATCTGTGCGTCTGTCTCTCAAGCTATTGAGACGCATGCCTGACGAACGGAGCAAGTACAAAATGCTAACGTGAATTTGGCAACTGCGTAACTGAAGCAGACCCTTCGATCAAACAGGGCACGACAGGGAATGTGCTGGGGGTTGAGTCTGGTAGCAGGAGGAAAGAAACGTGGGTGGGTGGGACATTGGAGGAAAGGAAAGGAGAGGAGAGATGGGAGGGGTTGCGGGGAAGGGGAAGGTGGGGTGAGGAAAGACCCTAAAGTTTTTACTCATTGAAGAGCGGAGAAGGGTGGTAAGGAGCGATACACGGTATAAAGGAAGAAATTACGGTTCACGAAGGAAGCTGGTGTTGGAAGCCTACAGGTGGAAGGAGTGATGAAAGCCTCACAAGCACAGACGAATCAAGCGTATCGTCAAGGCCGAATGGAGCAGGCGAATCGAGCCGCAATGCAGAGGGTACCGAATTGCACATTTACGAGCCGCTGCCAGCGGTAGGGCCGTACGACAGCAAGGTCGTTCACTTTTCGTCGCCCGCCCAATCAGGGTCGCGAGTCTGAAGTTGTTTTAGTCGTGGGTGTGCACTCCTCCCGCCCGTTTGGCGACGTAGACCGCGCAAAAATCGCCAAATCAAGTTCCGGTCGTCGCGCGCCTCTCACGGATGCGCAGCCAGTGGCGCGAAGCAGTTTTTGAGAAGAAAAGACTGCTTTGGCGGTATGGAGGGCTGTTTCGCTGGGTTTGGCTGGCACTGCACGAAACACCGATGATTGGATACACGTGCGGAGTCAGCTCGGCTGGGAGGCTGGCAGAAGTTCCAGCAAAAATGAGTACACCAGAGAATCCGAACTTGCTTAGAGAATCAGCTGAAAAGTGTTGAT